AGACCGTAATTCTTGCGCAATATTACGGGCCGTAATATCTTACGTAAGATTACGTTTATATAATTTGCTGATGTAACAGGCTAGTAAACCAAAATAGTGATTTGGGTTGAGTTTTTTTGAGATAGATTAATCCAAACCAAGGAGACTAAAATCATCTTTGGCAGGTTACATATAGATGCTAGCAGTATTTAGATACCTAAAAATAATCAGATAAGCCACTTTTCAGAAAATTAGCACTATAATGGTGGATATAAAATTTATGTTTGTTAGATTACATATTAATAAAGTATCGAAGTAGTGACATGATTGTTAAAAAAAAATAAAATAAAATAAAATACTTATAGTACCAAAATTTTTTACTAAAAAAAAACTATAACAACTTGTTGAAGAGTTAAGGCCTATATAGTAGATTGTTTAGAGGTTAACTGCTTTTCTAAGAGACTTTTCTAAAAGGATATTTGGTATACAAACCAAGAGTATTATTATACAAGATAATACCCTTGTATAAAAAATCTTAGTAGAGTATAGATAGTAAAGCCCAACTTTGTCGATAAAGCTATTAGACTGTTATTTCAAAGAAGAACACAAGGAAAACAACAAAAAGTTCTGTTCTTTCAACACACTCTTTTGAAAATTTTTGAAAGTACTTGCAACCTTTTTCTTCTTACTCTTGCTCCTCTACTAGTCTTTTAAAATTTTTCTCAAAAAGTAGTGACTTGGTTTACTCTCTTCAAAAGATCAACATTGTTTACTTTCTTAATTCAGATATACTTAGTAAAATGCAACTATGTAATATATTTGTTTATAATTACAGTGCTACTTTACAGAACCTGAATTGTGATCTCAAAACCTATTGGTTAAAAAATATCCAAGAGTAGCAAACTAGTTAAAAAAATATAAAAGTTAAGATGAAGTTTTATATAAGAGATATACAACTATTACAATTGTTATATAATTTTTATTAGTCTGGTATGAGTTATAATAGTATAAAAGTTTTCTTTTTTCTGCTCTTTTGATATTTTGAAGTTTTAACAACTAGCACTCCTACTGAATGCATCTATGTAACTCCTACTCAGAATAAAAATAATCATTATTGTTATTATTTTTTTTATTAATATTAACAAAGCTAAAGTTAAAGTTAGGATTAAGAATAGTATTAGAGTTAAAGTAGGCTTTAAAAAGTATCTATACCAAAATTTTGCAAGAAATTTTTTTTATTATAATGCAAAAGATAGTTTTATATATGAAATTTCAAAATAAAAACAATTTTTTAAATAAACAATTGTTTTTAAAATTTAATGTTATACACTGATCGTTTATATAGCATCTACATGTCTAATGCTAATTGGCTATAAACTGGTTTCAAACTGGTTTGGGGCACATAGATGCATACTACTCCTACTTACTTTTCTAAATGACTATTGGTAGCGATATCGCTTTTAAGGCTGACCTAATTCTTTTTAAATCAGAATATATCTAACAAAAAGGAATCTTGTATAAGTGAAGTTAGTTTAATACTTGGTCAAATGAACAAGAACTGCTGTAAAAGACGGTTGGAATGAGCACAATACAAAATTTCTTACAATATAGATACTGTTTTTTTTTTTTTTTTTTTTTTTTTTTCTTTTTATATATAGTATTAGAGTAGATTTTTTTCTTTCTATACAGTACTATATAATTTTTATAGTCTAGTACAAGTAAAAATAGTATTGTCATAGTCATCTTTTTTGCAACCTTTTTTTTCTTTTCTCTGGTTTTCTTTTTTGTATTTTTTTTTATTTAGTTAAAATTTTTTCTACATTTTTGTATTTTTTTTTAATTTCTTATACCTTATATTGTTCTTTGGTAAAATTCTTTTATTTAGGAGGCTAGAAAAAAAAGGATAAAAAAGAAGGCAATTATAACAAGATCCCAGATATCTCTAATATAGGTTATATTTAGATTTTGGCCAATTTGGCCTAATTTGTTAAAAACTAAAAATTTAGTTTTTCTTAAATATCTCTGGATCCAATAATCAAAATTAAATGAACTTTTTTTTTAAAAGAAGCAGCTTACTGAGAGCTTTTATTTAAAAAAAAGTTTATTCAAATTAGACTACTAGTTGCTGAATATTTACAAAAATGTATTTTTTTGCTTCTCAAATTTACAGGGGTTTTGCTGAAAAATTTATATATAACCTATATTCTAGATGTCTGAAATTCTATTATAACAGGTTAGTAAACCAGATCAGTAATCTGGGGTAGGTCTTTCTATAGTTAATTAATCTAAACTGGAAAGACTAAACTCATCTTTGGCAGGTTGCACATAGGTGCTAGTAGTACTTAGATATCTAAAAGTAATCAGGTAAGCCACTCTTCTATTCTAATACTGTAATGATGAATGTAAAATTTTTTATTTGTAAAGTTAACCATCAATAAAGCATTGAAGTAGTGAATAATTATCAAATTTTTTTTTTTAAAAAAAAAATACTTATATAGGAGGTGACTATAGAGAGATTTGACTATATATTTTGTAATAATCTAATAGGTAATTTTGGTAGTAAAAATATTACATTATATAAATATTTTTTATTAGTAATAGAAAATATATTTTTAAATAGTAAAATTACAGTAGATTATTAAGATTAACTAGTAGTAAGTTCGATAAAGTATATATTAGATAAGGATAAAAATAAGTATTTTTGCAAAGTGTAGCTATTATTGCTTTTGTTTATACAGTATATACAGTATATATATCTGATATATAACAATTTACTGTATATTTATTAACATAAAAATTAGATATTCTGTTTGCATTATATCTAAATATAAATGGGGACCTCCACAGCAAAACAAGGCTTTGGGCAAAAAATTTTGATTTTGTAATTTTATAAAAATTGTATTCCTATTACTCTAATTCTTCAAGAAATTGAGTTTTTAAAAAAAAATTTTTTTTTGCCCAAAGCCTTGTTTTGCTGTGGAGGTCCCCAAATATAATACGTACGTACGTACAACCAAGTTGATTAGTAAAATTAATCGCATAAATTGCTTTGCTAAATAAATTTTATTAAATTATTCATTTACATAAAGAACTTTAATAATAAATTTGAGCTATGTATATAATTAAAATTCTACAGTATATATACTAAATATATATATACTTATATATATACTGTATATATTATAACTTAATTTCTATATATCTGTATTTAATAACACAACCATGTTTTTAAAAAGTTTGACCTGATTTTTACTGGTTTATTATTTCTGGCCCGAATTTTTAAAATTTTTTTATTTCGGCCTCTAACTACGGAAGTGATACATATTACGTAAAAATTTATGCTAAAATTAGTGTGTTAGGCACGACGTAGGTTACAATTAAAAAGGATTTTTAGGGTGCTAAACATTTTTACTTAGTGCTCCGACTGAATAACCCTACGTACTATATATACCATATATTTAAATTTGGCCATTCGAAGTGGCATATCCAGAGAATTTCACCTCCGGTGAGCATTAAAAATCGAGTCTATCTAAAATTTAAAGTTTGATCGAGATCGGGTAATTCATTAAAATCCCGTGATCGCATATTCAAATGTATAGTGTAAAAAAACTATCAAAGTAACACGTATAATAATTATTACGTATCAATTTTTAATTTTCGTTCGCCAAAACTTGCTCATAGAGCCCGAAGTCTGATCGTGTTTATATTAACCTGATACTCGTTTGCTATGTCTTTATATTCGAATTCAACTCAATCTGGTTCGGCTGCTATTCCTATTGTTGCTCCGACTTCAGAAAAAGAAATCCCTAAGAACGTTCCTTCCAAATGTTGGTCTTTTGCTTAAATTTTCGCTTTTGCTTATAAAATATAGGTACGTGTTCGCGTTTCTTTGTCTAATGAATTTTTCTAATTTCCATTATAGATTCAACTCAGGATTCCAAAGCACGGACTTGTCGAAATTTGATTATACATGGTTATTGTAAATACGAAGGGAAAGGATGCAAGTTCAATCATGATCTTGTAAGTTATTTCTACTTGCTTTTTTCACTTCTCCCTGTATCAACTAGATCGTAGCAATCTCGGCTTTTCCGAATTGAATAAATGTCATTCATTATAAGTAAAAATTTTTGAATAGAATCAAATTGCACTTATTTACAACCATTGGTACAAGAATTGTTAAACTACATCCCTTTTTCCTACACTAGAATAAATCGACATCTCCTCCAAACAGTCCTGAAACGTAAGCTGCACCGATCCTTGAGTTGACGTAACCTTTTTCATCATCTATCATTATATTAACTTAACGGTTAAATCAGGGCTAAAACCAAGCTGAGCGTTAATTCTCCTGTATTCAAACCGTCTACTATCCTTTCGACAATTTCTCCAGAGGTTGTAAATGCCCCGCCATTTATTCCCAAAAACCACCAATGTTAGTATTTTTTGGCTTTACTTATCTTGCGAAATAAATGTATGCTTATTTGTTTATCAACTCTTCAAAGTGAGTGCTGTTGATGAAACACCAATCACTCCCCCGAGTGCACCAGGTATAGTTTTGTTATTGCCCTTACCTTTAAGTGAGCTTATAAATTAGTATCTTATTTGCTTTAATTTTTTAATTTGGTAAGGTTCACCACAGAAACGGCTTTTTTATGATTCTGGCGAACATGAATATGATGCAGAGTACAGCACGTTGCCATTTTTCCCCATGTTTACTAACAAATATGATTGATAGTTTCTAATTTATTACTTATTTTGACCTGCTGCCTTTAGTATTTCGATATTTGACCCTACTATTGGTTTCTACCCATCACAATCATTAACATCACCTAAACCGTTTTTATTGTCCTCTGGTGGTGTCAAAGGCCACGGCTTGAATGCTCTTGCTAATTCCTTTGCATCATTGGTATTAAACAGCAAAATCAATTACACTTTTATATTTAAATTTTTTGTATGCTGTTTTGATTTGATTTAAAAAAATTTTTTCTTTTACCATAACATGTGACATTTCAGACAACGCAATTCTCTGCTCTTGACACATTGCCGGATGCGACAACCCAACCTACGAACAATACGAGTTATTTCACAAATTCACACTATGTGAATCCATTTTTATATCAATCACAGCAAACATTAATTCCTCAACCGGTACATTTTTTTCTTGTTTAACTTAAGAATGTCAACATTTTCATTTTTCGGCCCTTGTTTCTAGTAGAGTTGACTGCTCTATTAGATAAAACCAATATTACGAGCCGAGCCTTTACATCACTTCCAACACAGTTCTAGAGATTGACTAAAATTATGTTTTCGTGCAGCTTCAGTATCACCTTTATACATCACCACTTCCGCACGTTTCAAATTTGCATCCACATCAAAAGACTATTCACGCATTCTTTATGTCTGACCATCTCCGTGAAGAATTGCAGCAAAAAAACGAAGCGACTTTAAGCTCCGTAAATGGTAGCAAGTGTTTTAATATTAAATTATTCATCTATAACGAAGCTATTGCGTTCTCACTACTTGTTTACTATAGCTAAAGATTTTAATTTACCTGAAGAGCTTCATGTTTATCATTCACTGTACCCACTTGATTTGCGACAAAGCAAATCGGTAAAAATTTTTGGATACCCAAGCTTTACTTACAAGTCAATTTGTAATGTTGATGGTCGTGTTTACTGTTTGAGGAGGATCGAAGGTAGTTTGTCCATATACTATATGCTTTATCAAATTATTATTTCTATATGTAATATTGGACTCACTAGTGGTAATGATAGGCTTTCGTTTGACGAATGAAATAGCTATGTCGACAATAGAAAGTTGGCGACGAATCAGACATGCAAATATCGTTTCGATACGTGAAGCATTTACCACAAAAGCTTTTGGTGATCATTGTGAGTGACTCTCAAGTATATTATGTAAAAGATGAAAGTAATATTAATTTAAAGGATTAATTTTATCCTTATTGTCTAATTTTGTGTCAACGACCGATCGTATAAAAGCCCTTGTTTTTGTCTATGACTATCATCCATTGTCACAGACATTATTAGACAAACATTTCTCCTCTCCAATACAGACTGCTGTTCAAATTCAGGGAGTTAGTACCAATATTCCAGAGACGGTTTTATGGAGTTACATTGTTCAATTAGCATCTGCTATTAAAACTATACATGCATCAAACTTGGCAGCAAGAATGATCGAGCCAACGAAAATTTTGCTTACTGGCAAAAATCGGTGAGACAGTAATTGGAATTTTTGTAATTATCATTTGAGTTTATTATTACTTTACTTTTTTTTTTCGTATCTAGAATACGCGTGAATTGTTGCGGTATAATGGATATGCTTGCTTTTGATGGTGGGAAAAATATACACTATTACCAGGTATGATATGTGCTATCAATGACGCTTGTTGTTCTGAGACAATCTATGATTATCTCAATCCGCGTTAAAAAAAATTATATATCAATAGAAATCATGCAGATTAACATTTTATTAAAAATTAATCCCTTAACTTTCACAACTTGTATCTCGATGAATTTTGAGGTTATCTTGATAAATTAATATTCAAAAGAAAGCTTAAAATCTAGACTTTCTTTTGAATATTAATTTATAAAGATAGCCTCAAAACTCATCGAGATATAAGTTGTGAAAGTTAAGTGATTAATTTTTATAAATGTAATCTGCTTGATTTCTATTAACGGCAGCCCATATGACAATCACTCATATATAATTGACATAATGTATAGAGATAAGATCAGTCACTAATTATATTGTCAATGAACTTCAAGTTTATTAGTTTCTTTTATCGTTCATTTATTTTTTTTAAACTAGTAGTAACTAAATATTCGCGCCTTACGATGTAATATAATATAGCAAGAAGATCTCTTACACTTTGGGCATTTAATTATCTCTCTTGCTTGCAATTCCCTTACATCTATCCATAATCTGCCAAAATCAATTGAGCTCATTTCCCGACAATATTCGCATGATCTTAAGAATGTCATATTATATTTAATAAGCAAACCGACTCCTGACAAAACTATAGACGATGTTGTGACGATGATTGCACCAAAAATATTACATGAGGTTAACAGCGCTCATCAGTATGTATTGTGTAATGGGATGTAGTGTTAAGAAATTTTAAAGATATAACTTTATTGGTTCCATTATTAAACGCACGATTCACGAAAAAGTTAAAGTTAGCTCACGATCGTGTTGACTCTTTTCATTAGCTATAATGATTTTTTAGAAAGCGAATTCAGTAAAGAATTAGAAAACGGAAGGTTGGTTCGCTTATTATGTAAATTTGGATTTATTAATGAACGTCCCGAGTAAGTGTTATTGACTATTGTTAGCATTATTTGAATTTGGCTAAAAATTTTATGTGCATATTATATATAATAGATTTGATATGGACCCAAGTTGGTCGGAAACGGGCGATAGATATTTAATCAAACTTTTCAGAGATTATGTATTTCACCAAGTCGATGAGCATGGTTATCCGGTTGTTGATATGTCTCATGTATTAACATGTTTAAATAAGGTAAATAAGCACTTGCGTTCATGTTTAGTAAATTTAGTCTATTTCTTGTAATAGCTTATATTATTATTATAGTTGGATGCAGGTGTTGATGAAAGAATAATGTTAATGTCGAGAGATGAGCAATCATGTCTTATTGTGTCTTATAAAGAGATAAAAAATTGTATTGATTCTGCTTTTAGAGATCTTTCAAGAAGAAAATGATTTTTATATTCGGCATTTTCAATGTTATATAATTTTAGATTTTTTTATTTTTTTTACAACCAATAGTATTTATGATACTATTGTTTTTATTTAAATTTTGATTTTACATAATTTGAATCTGATTTATTACAAAATGAAAAAGAAAATTTTATACATGTTATTATAAAGCAAAAGAAACTTAATATGCTTGAAACTAAGAATTATATTAATATATTATTATTATGTATTTAAAATTTAATATGATTTTTATGATTGTTTTTTTTTAAATTTTATTAAGTATAATTGTATATTTAATATAAATTTTAAATATGCTTTAAACCTATTTTTAATTTTGAGATTAATATTTAACTATATAATAGTTAATAATTTATTAAAAAAATTTAATAAATTTATATTGAAAAAATATTTTTTATATAGATCTCTAGATTTTTAAATAATAAATTAGTTTCGATCAACTCATTGATAATTAATTTACAGACAAGGTTTATTTTATAGACAATTAATTCAAAGACAAGTTAATTTCATAGACAGTATCAACTTATTACACAAGTTTTTTTTTTAATATGTATTTTAACCAAAATTAATTTGTCAATAAAATGAGCTGCTAGTAAAATATACTATCTATGAAATGAACTTGTCTGTGAATTAATTTCATAACTAAATTGTCTATAAAGTGATTATAGGTAAAATAATACAGACTACTGTCAACTCTCTCTAGGTGCAAGTCAATGTGCTAGCAAAATATCTTGCATTTAGAAAGAACTTGCACTTAAAGAAAACTAAATTAATATATAGTTTTTATTTTTTTAAAAAAAATTTTGGCAGTCATGTCTTCACTTTATTAAGCTATAATAAACAAACTACACAAGTTTATCAATCTTATCAAACACATTGTGTCCAACTATCTAAATTACACAAGTGTTAGCTAACCCAGTTGCATCAAATGTGTACCTATGTTCAACCTACTATAGTAGAATTTATCTCTTTACTTATCCCTTCTGCAATTGAAGTAAATAAATAGATTTACGAATAGTATCTATGGCCTGTTATGACTGCTAATTTCTCTAAATCTCTCCTCTTCTAAATATCAAAGCAAGAGGATTTCTTAATTCTTGCCTAAAAAATGACAAGTAATTAAAAAAAAAAAAAAAAACTAAACTAAAAAAAAAGATAGTAAAAAAAAGAGAGAATACTACGAGACCTAAACAAGAACCAAATACAAAAAACAAAATAAAAAAAAAAAAACAAAAAAGAAAAGAACAAAGAAAAATACATGAATATAACAACACTAATTGCACCAGTGCAAAGCTTAAAAAACTATTTAATACTCTGTAAAAGCAATTCCTATCTTCGATTTACTTCGGTATTAAAATAGTTTGATTACATGGGGAATACAAAATTTTTCTTGTTTACTCTACAGATCCGTCACATGTCATTCATTGTTGTTCAGATGTGTAGTAGCATAATTTTTTTTTGATTTAGTCATTTCCAATTTGACTACATAAACAATATCAATTCTTTGTAATAGATACGCTGAATTTCTCATATTTTGGAAAAAATTTTAAGAGAAATATCAAAAAACCCAGTAGGAATATAAAGGGTGGTTTGCAAAGTTAGGTACTTTCAAATTTTTAAAAGAGTGTGTTAAAGTTCACAAATATTGTTGTTTTCTTTGTGTTTTTTTAATAGCCTAAAAGCTTCATCGATGAAAAGACTTTGTCTTTCTACCAAGATTTTTATACAAGAGCACTATCTGCCAGTTATTTTGTATAATAATGCTCTTGGTTTGTATGCCGAATGTCTTTTTAAAGAAGTTCCACGAAAAGTAAACATTAACCTCTAGATAAACTGCTACATAGACCATGACTCTCCAACAAAAATTGTGTTTTTCTATAGTAAGAAATTTTAAAAAAAGTGTATTTGAATTGAAATACTAAATTAATATATAATTAATTAAAAAAAATATCTTGCACTTAAAAAAAAAAACTTTAATTAAAAAGTTAATTTAATTAGTTAATAAAATATCTTGCAATTAGAGAAAATAATGCTGGCTAAAAAAAATCTTGCACTTAGAAAATAAAGAACTTGCATTTATATTATAAATCCCAACACAGAACTAGACTATTTAATTGCATTTAAAGAAAAGTTGTATTTAGAGAATATGTACTTAGAGAGAGTTGACTGTATAATGAATAATAAATACTAATAAGGCTATTTAAAGTTAATTTTTTGCTTAACATTACTCCACTTTGGCATCCTCTAGTAAAATGTATATAAACAAGTAAAAATTAAAAATAATATATAACCACAAAATAACATGATGGGGTGTAGTTTTAAATTTTGGCCTAAATTAAGCTTAATTCAAGCTAAAATTTGAAATAACTCCCTATATACTATTTTATAGTTATGGTAAATATAAAATAAAAAATAATTTAAAATAAAATAATTTAAAATAAAATAATTTAAAATAAAATAATTTAAAATAAAATAATTTAAAATAA